TTAGGTTAAGGTTGAGGTTAAGGTTAAGGTTAAGGTTAAGGTTGAGGTTAGGTTAAGGTTAAGGTTAGGATTAGGTTAAGGTTAAGGTTAGGTTTAGGTTTAGGTTAGGCAAATGAAATAATCAGAAAATGTTTGATGATACAGACGGACATGGCAGATATACATTGAGTATGTTTCACTGTGAGGCGGCAGCAGTGTGGGTCACATGAACAGTAATCCTCTCCTGTTGTGCTCTGGTTACAGACGAGCAGATAACAGAGTTCAGATCGTGCAGAACATCAGTGATGAGCTGTCTTTAGTGCTGCTCTGCAGCTCCAGGATGTGTGGTCGGTATTTGCACTGTGAACATATCTGTTGATTATATCTACTTCTTGTAACCTCAGTCAAACTGGCACACAGCTTGAAAAATAAAGCTCGAAATTGTTCAGGTCGCCTTAGGGGAGATTTTAAACTTCAAAATGCACAATGTCGGCCTATGAGTAAAATCTCAATCTGTCTTAATGTGTAGCTCAATTTACCCAAACATCCATGACCATTACAATAACAATCTGTCTCTCTTTTAAACCAAGCCACATGCTGCAGCAGCTCTTAACCGTGAGGAACACACATTGAATCATATCAGATCCACAGGGCATCATGAATGCTTAACAACACCTTAACAAGTAATACTGCATTGTAGCCTTGGGCTCGTTAAGCTTTTAAACAATAATAATAATACAATTAATCTATATTAATCAACAATGTTTAATTTGCGCCAGGCCAGGATACACAGCTCATGCATTACTCTACCTCCTCTCTTCTTGTTCCCATTTAGTTTCTGTGTATGTGGAGCTCAGCTGTCTGCTTTCACAGCCCCCTGCTCATGGTGGAGCAGAATGGGGATTTCTGTATCATTCTGTGGGGAAGAGAAGCTTTTAAACTCTGCAAACCCTTTTATAATCACAAACAAACATATGTAACACACTGGAGGATAGAAAAACTGAAAAGCACAATCTGTCTCCTTTAAAGCCAGATGTGGATCTTTACATGATACATGCTCTACAGGCGGATCCCCTCATATAGCACATTTTCCACTTGAGAATAACTCTATCTTATTATATTTCCTACTGTTTGAAGTGATTACCAAGGTGGTTTATGTTTACAGCTGCTCCAGCTCATGCCACAAACTGCCATTCTACTCTATCTAAAACTGCATTTTCATCAAATTTAAGTTGAATTTGATGCGTGCTACTAACATTTCTCATCACACTCAATAACTGTGAGGATATTCTCCATCTGAGTACCAGAGTACCACAATAATTTGCACAAAAGTTGGCTTTCCAGACAACTATGAGGTGAACAGTCACAACCACGGACTCAGTCAAGGAACATGCACCTGACAATAGGGAATATGTCATGGCTGATTCATGTCTGCTGTGGTAAGACCTCGTTTTGACAAATCGTAATTTGCCCTTAAAGCAGCGAACAGTAACGTGAGGGTCTGAGGACAGAGGGTGATATCTGCTGCACATGTAGTTCAGTGACTTGACGAGGGCAAGTTAATAAACAGTGGATGGTTTTAATCTGTTACCTGTGGAAAAAAATGGATCCGTAGCTGAGTCAGCTGTTCTATATATGAATCCACTGTAGTGATAACGGTGAGACAGACACAGGTGGACACACACACACACACACACACAGGTTATAAAGAGTAACGGACAGCAGTCTCCAGCAGAGGAAGTTATAGAAGACAGCAGACATGCTCAGGTTCCTTGTGTTGACCTCTCTCGCAGCCCTCGGTAAACGCCGTGTGATTCCTCTCCTCTTTACACATTCTGCACACGTTCGAACACATCCTGTCTGACTGTTCTGTCGTCTGTGCTTTCCTCAGTGCTGGCCGAGCTGGAGCCCCAGCCCAGGTATCTGGAGGATGACAGTGCCGAGGAGAGAGTTGTGGGAGGGGAAGTGGCCAGACCCAACTCCTGGCCCTGGCAGGTACGGTACAACTTTGTTTGACTGGACAGCAGTGGAGGGACAAGAGCACAGATCATTTGACCCAATGTGAAAATACTCTTTTATGTTGTGGCATCTGTGCTGGTTTGGTATAACCTCACTGTGCAGGGAGAGGTTGGATATTTTGGTGCCAAGAATGATTCTTTATAGAGCAATTATATTTTCCTTACAAAACATGCAAAGACCGGAATAAAAATGTAACCTAATTAAAAAAATATAGAAATAAAATATTTTTTTAAATTTCAGCTTCCTGCAGTAAAAATACATTTTTGTATCACTAAAGCACCAAGGTAACAGCAATGGGTCATGAATCATAAATATATATATACATGTATCAATGATGAGTCCTTAGATGTCGTTAACATAGAAATGTAATTGAGGCTTTATTTTAACCATAAACTTTACTGCAAATTACTAATAATAATACATTTTATCTATACAGCACCTTTCATACATAAAATGCAGAAAAAATAGAATAAAGACAATGGTGTTAAAAAAAGAAGATACGATTAATCAAAAGCAAGGAATAAGAAACCTTACAAAATGTATAAAAGCAAATCCAAAAGAAAAAGATGAAGCAGAAAGCACCTGAGTGGATAAACAGAGCAGGTCTGTTATCGTTCACACATTATATAAGCTGAACTTCTGTTTGATTTGTAAAATCAAAGAGACAAAAGTAAAATAAATGATGTGAAGAGAAAGCGTAATGTTATCAAAGACATCCACTGGTTTTAATTTCTCCTTCGTTGTTTCGTCAGATCTCTCTTCAGTTTAAATCTGGCTCCAACTTCCACCACACGTGTGGAGGAACCCTGATCAGAAGAGGATGGGTCATGACCGCAGCTCACTGTGTGGACCGGTGAGATTCATACGTCACTGACTAACTGCTGAAATCTAATAAGAGACACGGATGAAGTAACAGAAAATTGGTTCTGACGAGCTGAACCTATGAATATGTTTCGTATAGATGTAAATTTGACTGGATGCATTTCACAGATTTTGAACATGTGTCAGGTTATTAGAGATAATTTGCTGCCAGACAGTGTAGGAATGAAAACTTTCTTTGGTTTCTATTTCCACAGCTCCAGGACTTGGCGTGTTGTTCTTGGAGACCACAACATAAACTCCCACGAAGGCAGTGAACAGTACATGAGCGTGAGCCGCGTCTACCTCCACCCCAACTGGAACTCCAACAATGTTGCTGGAGGGTGAGCGATGATGACGAGTCATGGTCTGACCCACTGCTGCACATAAAAACAGCAGATACTGATACATGTATATCACACATTATAACAGCTAAATGTACAAAGCTATCTGTAAACATCTAAAAGTCAGGAAAAATGTCCAAAGGCTGTTTTCGAACATAATGTTTGATATAACAGTGGCATTATCTGGAAATTTCACTTTGTTTGTTTATTTGAATATGTATTTTTCTTAAACTGAACATATTTATTTTTACTTTGTACTCTCCTCACTGCACTTACAACCCAGACACTCTGAAAACCCATCCAGTTATACAGAACAACATAATTAGAGGTGAAACACTTCTCACAGAAAATGAATTAGCACATATGTGGATAATTACTTACACTAACATTATAAGGTTCCTGAAAATGTTCTGCTGTGAATTATGTACAGTATATATATATATATAGTTGCATTAATAAAAAAATAATTGTTTGTTAGTTATCCCTAAACAACTCTGACTCACAGACTTCACCAGCTTTACATGCTGACATGAGGACACATTTTTTTTGACCCTCAGGTGGGACATTGCTCTCCTGCGTCTGTCCTCTGATGCTTCCCTGAACAACAACGTCCAGCTGGGCGCCCTTCCCCCCAGTGGTCAGGTCCTGCCCCACAACAACGCCTGCTACATCACTGGATGGGGACGCACCCAGAGTGAGTCTGACATCATGATACAGTACATGATGAATGAATCTGTTTTGTGTTCACATGCAGCAACGAAGCTGAAGAGTTGTGAGACATGTGTTTTTTCTGTCGTCCTCAGCTGGAGGTCAGATCTCTGCTCAGCTCAAACAGGCCTCCCTGCCTGTTGTGGACCACAGGACCTGCTCCAGCTACGGATGGTGGGGCAGCACCGTGAAGGACTCCATGGTCTGTGCTGGAGGCGGCAGCTACTCTGGTTGCCAGGTGAGTGAATGTTACTTTTTAAATACTTATGACCCTATCCTAATTATCCTTGTGAAAAAAAGATGCTGAGGATCTTGAACCTATTAAGTATTTATTAATAGATGAATAACATTTAAAACTGCATTATTGTCAAATAGAAAAGATGAACAAAGCAACTTTTAACAGCCTAATGTCTTCATTCATATGTATAACGATTAACTGATCTCTGAAACATTTGATTATAAACTTGGCTGTAATTTCGGCAGGTAAGATTCCTGCAGGTCAGATATTGAACCCACTTTCTCCAGAGGTCCTTCTATGATTAAGATGCAGGAGTGGTGTTTGGACACAAGCAGACCGGGAGAAACACTGAAAAAGAACGTGTCAAAATTCAGTTCTACTCCACCAGGAAAAGGAAAATTGAATGTCTGAGCTGAGGCCTGACCCCGTCTTGTCAAGGAAGATACTTTGCAGGACACATGAGGGATTACTTGCTGCATCAGCGGGGCCATAGGTCACTCACAAAGATCCAGACTGTAGTGCTTGAGCTGCACAAAACACTCATGTTGTGCACAAACTTGCTCAAGGCTGTCTGAGATTAAAAGAGGATGTGTAAAGCAAGTGGGGACATGTTGCTCTTTGAAGGACTGACGTTTTTTAACATGCAGAATAAAGACATCCATTATGAATTGTCTGTTGCTCTGTGTCATCTCTGAATCCAGGGCGACTCCGGTGGCCCCCTGAACTGCAGCGTCAACGGCAGGTGGGTCGTCCACGGTGTGACCAGCTTCGTGTCCTCCTCCGGCTGCAACGCTTACAGGAAGCCCACCGTCTTCACCCGCGTCTCCGCCTACATCAACTGGATGAACAACGTCAGTATTTAACACAATCAAAGAGTAATTGAAAAAAAAAAAACTATCAGGACATTTCCATTATTGTGAGTTATACATAGAGATATGATGTCTTTTGATGAATCACACTATGGGCCTAAGCAGCAATTGCAGGATAATCACAATCTGCTCTCTGCATCCACTCATTTTCAGAACTACACCTATTTGTTGAGTGTTTTGTTCAGCTCCTTGAGGATAATCAAGTAATCATTCATTTATCCTCACTTTGCCAGATCATGGGTTGAGAAGAAAGACAGTCTCCATGGAGACGAGAGAAAACTCCGGATTCGTCTCCTCTTCTGTGCGACTCCATCTGAATAAAATGTAAATTCTTCCTTGACTAATTTGTTTGTGTTGTTTTTTTGTAAAAGACATTGATCATTTTAAGATTTAAAAAAGGAAAGATAACATTCTATATGGACTGATTTGCGTGGGATGGAGTTTGGCTGCTGAATTGATTTTAAAAGTTACACGGACACATACAAAAATACTGTTTTAATTGGGAAAAAAGTCAGAAATATGTCCCACTGTTGTCTATGTGGACAAAAAGACCAATTAAAAGACAACATTTAAGATGATTATGCGCAAGGAAAGAAATGCACTTCTTTAGAATCCCCCTGTCATCCACTTACAAGGCCAGCTACATAATATTTATTCATAACTGCACCAAGGTGTTTATTGACATGTGAACGTGTAAACAGCAACAAACTAATGAGCTTGGTTTCACTACACACAGGTGACGTATGGATACAAGCAATAACCAGAGTCAATTCAACAAATCATTGTAATTTAGAAATAAATTGCACCTGCCTGTGTGACATTCATATTTCAGAGACACTCACAGCACATAAATATACATGTCAACTTTTACCTTGGAGTGTAACCAATTCAATTCAATGCCTCATCCGTAGATATATTCTTTCGTGTTTTGCTGTTTCCTCAGTGATTCTACCTCCATCACTCACAGAGCTGTTAGAAAGATAGAGCGGTTATCAGAGGAAAAACAAATAGCTGCTTCACAGTGGCCTTGACTGTGGTGGATAATCGTGAGATGGAAAACATCTGGCCTGTGTGACTTAGTACAGCAGCACGAGTCCTATACACACACACACACACATACACATACACATTGAGTTTATGAAGAGAGGCTGACTCATCTGCAAGCTGCGACATGAAAGCTGCTGCTGACAGCTCCGTCAACTGTGAGGAGGAAAGTTTACGTCACTGCTCAAGTTCTGCTCGGCGGTGTCAGAGGTCGTTTATCCAGGAGACGCCATGAAAAATTAGAGAGAAAGAGAGAGAGAGAGACAGAGAGAGATGGATGGATGGATTTTCTTATATTTTTCCACAACCGTCTACAATAAAAATAATGTATTAAGTGTTTGACAGGGTTATTACTGGCACTTTATAATTTGGATACAACAGTTTAAAGTCAAAAACTTTTTTTTATCTGCTAAAGAGTTGAGCTACACTAATATCAAATCAGTGTATTTTAACTGAGTTACACTGATCCCCATGCTTTCGTGTGTAAACTATTACCACAGTAACTTCAGCTACAATAACATCACAAGGATACTCCTCATATATGTAGTATCTGCCAAAGGTCGACATGGATGCATATATATATATATATATGTATATATACATATATGTATTTTAAAATATTAAGTCAATGTGTGTTTCCTCAGTAGCTGGTGGAGGTTCGTCTGCCCGGCTGAAGCAGGACTTCCTGCTGCTGCTGCTGCAGAGGAGGAAGGTGACGTCTGCCATAATGTCAGTCCTGTTTATTAATGTCTCCGTCCTGCAGGGATGTGGGTATGTTCAGTGTAATGGATGCTGTAGCTTCACCAGTTGAGATTACATATTTATTTGGTGAGGGTAGAGGGCCATCTGCTGGATGAAAAAAAAAAAATAAAAATAATGTGTATTTGTATGCAAGGACTATCTCGACCTATATTTGCTTCAGGGCATGTAAAGGAACAGTCTGTCAACTTTAAATTAATAATTTTAACAACGATAATTAGTAAGTAAAAATGTTCTGGCCATGACTCAGCATTTTTTTTCTTTTCTTGCAATAGCAGCATAAAAAACAGTTCAGCACAGGCCTGCACCTCCTCCTGCTGCTTCTTCCTCCTGCATTCAGGTGATCTACTGGATGCTGCTTAATATTTTAAATCACAGCCTGCATGATACTTTGACTAACCTCATGAATTCAAAAGAAAGCTAAACTACAGACGACAGATGAAACATAATTGAATAAAAATATGTTTAATGGATGTCTCCAATGTCAACACATTCTGCATAACAAATAATCTTTGGTAAAATCAGGTTAAGATGTGTATAAATATTAAAACACTCTCTATAATGATGGATCTCTGTAGCAGGGCCTAGCAAACTTATTTACAGTTATAGAACAAAATGTATATAGTGAATCCCCCATCAGGTTTTACTGGGATCATGTTTAATCGTATCGATAAAAGGTTTTCAACATTGTCAAATAAGAAAATCGAAATAACAGTAAAAAGGTTTAAAACTATTTCATGTTTTTTCCCTTTTAATCAAATGAACAAGTTCCTTTGCGGTTGTAAACTCTTTAAAAAATCACAGTCAAGTGACCAAACAAAGGATGGAAAAGATCAGGAGAGGTCAAACAATATTTCTCCCTCAATGCTACAAATATTTAAAAACGTCTCAGGTGTCACGAGGGCCCTGACACCGTCACACCATGCCCTCGATGTTGCCCAACTTCGGCGGACGCTCAGCCACAGTGTGCTGCGTTCGCTGCTGATAGTCTTTCAGCACCTTCACCGTGTCTTCGCGTCCAAACTGCATGGCGTCGTCGACTGGAAGGTTCCCCCACCTGCAGAGCGAGAGGTGAAGGCCGCGATGAAGAGGGAAGTTAGGCAACAGAGCATGGAGAACAATTTTCACACATTAGTTTCAATTATGGGTTCACAATAAATGGTAAAGAGAATTTAAGATCGAATGTTCACTCGGGGGAAGGCATTCATTTAATTTAACCTGATAGAAAATCTGCTAATCTCTATTTTTATGAGTCCTGCAGCAGTTTTTTCTTGCCATGGCTCAATTACTGGAGGTAACAAAACTGCAACGAGCATCACCACAGGAGATCGATAGGAAATAACATGCCTCTGAATACTGACAAAACTGGGGGTTAAAATATTAGATCATGGTGAAATAAGGAGCAGTGAAGAAGATGAAGTCTTTAAGAGATGCTGATCTCACCTGTCCTTTACGAACGGATCAACTTTACAAGTTTCAGTCAGAAAAATCACAGCGTCAATGTGACCTGGGAATAAACAGGAGATATAACAGATCACAGTTTCTCATCAGGGCCCAAGAAAATACAGACGACACAAATGCTGGTGTCAAAAAGTAATGGAACAGCAGAACTAGCAAGATGTTCACGGTTTATGAGAATATCCAACAATGTGACGAACTGTGCGAGAGGAAAAATATGTCAAAAAATACAAACACATCCTCCTGCGCTCACCATCCAACTCAGAATGAGATTAAGAGAAAGCTCTGCCCTTTAATTTTAAAGAAAAACACTATTATTCCTATTTTTTGTAATCATCCAAACAAATCTCTTGCTCCCAAGGCTCAATAATGATGTGACTGAAGAAGACGCTGCAGCGGAGCATTAAATCTGCACCGCGAAATAACTCAAACAACAACAGAAGACAAATAATCGTCCATATGGCACAGCAGTGTCAGCGTTTGTGAACTGATTAATTAGTGGTCTTGTGTAATGTCAGCCAGAGGAACTGAACCTCTGCAGTTAATCATGAAAACAAATGGAGCGAAAACTCATTACAGTGGTGAGCGCCAAAACAAATGATTCAACAAGTGTGTCTCTGTGTTTCACCACTTGTTTCCAGATGAAAGAGAGAGAGATACAAATACAGTAAAAGACAGTCGGAGTTATATATTGACTTTCTTGTTTCAATGACAGTAAATCAAACATTTCTCTGGAAATAAATAAGTGTGACAAATGTGCTCTAGTGTTGCTGTTACAGCCGCTCCTCATTAAGAGTGAAGCTGTTACACGTCTGTCACCTCAGGACCACTGCAGGTGACCTGACATGTCCTCGTGTTGTTGGCATCCAGCCAAACAGCGAGTTAAATATTATCGATCGCTGCTGTTCCATCGACCAGGATGGGACAGAACAGGTACAACACAGCCAGGGGAGCAAAATGTCTCAGGAGAGCCTCAGTTTAGCATTTTATTGCAGCCCACCTCCCCTGATCAATAAATGTTCGTGCAATATCACTAATTTCAGTGTTGATTGGAGCATTATTGATTATGAGTTGGCCGATATGAGCCTTTCTGAGAAATATCATCTTATCATTTATGGTTACCAATATGAAAACGTTTATTTAACAGAAAATAAACCGCAGAAAAGCATTTGAGTTTGAATTTTATACGTAAAAACACTTTATTTTCATTTTCTCAGTTCAAGCTGTGATTATTTGGTCACATTTTTCTCTTACTTTTATTCATACTTATTCAATGTTACAAGTAAATATTTTATTCCAAATGAAGTGTTATCATCTGTTTTAATTTTAATGTTTGTGTGAGAATGTTTATTTCTGGTTACAGAAATGTTTCGTATGTTGTATTTTACCTCTGGAGCTGGCGATGCTCTTTCATTAAACTGAAATTAAAGAAGCACAGATGACACAGAACATGCGGGTCTCACCCTCTGCTGCAGCCACATGTAGAGCTGTTCGAGAGTCATAGTCTTTTAGATCCATGTCCATGGACGAGAGAGCAAACCTGAAGTAAACAAAAGAACAGTTCAGATGTGTTTATATATAGATATGCACATTTTAGCATAAATTAGCTTTGCTTTTATATTTGAGCTAATCAACCAGCAGTATGAGGAATTATAAAATATCTTCTAAGACAAACCAGACAGAGATGAATACAGATATTTACATTTTAAATACAAAAATATTCTTAACATTAAAATATCTCTGTGCAACATTTGTATATGCAACAGTACAAGCTCATCTATCACATAAGACAAACAGGTCTGAACTGTACCTTCTCAGGGCGGACACGTCTCCACTGTATGCAGCGAACATCAGGTTGAAAACAGACTTGTTCTGTAAACACACAAGAGAAACATAAAGAAAGAACGGAAAATATTGAATCTAAGAATCAACAAACTGATGAAGCAGCTCACCCGGTCCTCCCCGTCCTGCCTGCGAGGGTCCTGCTTCTTCACAAAGTGCCTCAAGTTGTCGTAGTTGTGGAAATTAAAGAGCGACACGAGCTCCTGAGGAAAAGATCGAGTTTTTATTGAGTTTAAAAGAAAAATGCTTCTGGAGACAAGAAAATGTGATGAACACTGAGAGTTCAACTGAATATACAAGTGAAAAATTCAACCTACAGTGTCACTTGGACGAATAGACTAGAATATTGGACTATTTCAATATTATTATAATTATTATTATAATAATAAGTATTGTTTGTCCTGCACTTTCTTGTGTGCTTTTTAATTAAACTTTTAAATTCATCTCAGCCTGACATCCCTCTCACCCACAGCAGTGAACGTCACGCTTCAGTCACGCTTCAGCTCAACTTGGCCATTTAAGGAAGAGGAACAAAACAATGCATGAAACAGGCATGAACCGCTAACGGCTGCTGCCCAGTCACCGTGATGTATTCCACTGAATTTTTTACATCTTGACGATATTTATAGTTTGAGCTCATAACCCCTTTATTAGAAACCGTGTAAACGCAGAGAATCTACAGGCGGACTCTGTGTCTTGCTCTTGCCTGACAGAAGTTTATTCCCCGGACGCTGTTGCCCACTCTGTCCAGTGGAGGAGACCAACACATCACTCCCATGACGTTGGGGATCACCAGCAGGATTGCACCAGACACGCCAGACTTGGCCGGTAAGCCCACCTGAGGGATGAGGACATGGCGCTGATCAGGTTTTTCCTTCAGGGTGATAATGGCATTGATTTGTGTAAGAGCGGTGGTGTGGCACCTTCTTGGTTACTCACGTGAAACGCCATCTGGCCAGAGAAGTCATACATGCCACAGGAGTGCATGAGACTCAGAGTATTTCTCACAGCCTCGGCACTCAGGACATGCTTTCCTGTGATCGGACAAATTCCCCCGTTGGCCAGAGTGGCAGCCATGACACTTCCGGATTCACACGTCACCTCGATGGAGCAGAGCTGAGAGCAGAAACAGTTTATGTTGGAAATTCTTTTCATTTAAACTAAAGATTGTTAAATGAAATGTTCTATTCATGACATTTACCTGGAAGTAGAAATCTAGGGCGTCAATCATATCTGCTCCAGGTGGAAAACACTGTTGAATTAATATGATCACCATTATTATCTGACTGACAGAATAACATACTACAAGAAAATCAAGAATATCTAAACCAGTTTATAAAGCTCTGTCTTATTCTGGCCCCTCAAGTAATAAAAGTATTTTTTGGGATACCTTCTACAACACAGCTCCCAGGGTCAAAAGGTCACACAGGAAAAAGTGTCGATGCATGTGAGGGTAATGGGATACGTATGGAGAAGCTGCACAGGCGGAAACTGATGATGGCACAACACTGGGTGAAATATTGATTTTTAACATTAAACTGGAAAAAAGCAAAAATAATATTTTAGAAAAGATTTTGTTGTATTCTGTCGCTACAGATAATTGGGCTTAGAAATCAAAAGAAGAAATCTGAAAAGAAATATAATATAGCAATATCATGTTTTCTTGCAAAAAGCCAAATGTTCTCTGGCTTCAGTTTCTCCTGTGAGAAGATTTTCTGCTTTTCTCCATTCTATCAATGTAAACTTAATATATTCAGAGACAGTGAAAGATGTCACTGTGGCGTTCGATCGTTTTTCAGGCTTTCAGTTTTTTTTATTGATCGATCGATAATAAAATATTTTGCTGCGGCCTTATTTCATGAATCAACTGGAACCTGAAAACAGATGCAACAGAACGGAATGGAAACTAATAATTCATAATCCCACCGAATTTACTGCAGCAAGAAAACGTCCTGTGACTGACCTTCTTCTCTTTCATGTAGTATCCGATGGCAAAATTTCTGTCGCCCGTTTCCTTTTCTGACTGGAACCTGAGCGAACGAGCAGAAGGGGTCGATACTGAAACATCAATAATGCACTGGGGCGGCGGACAGGCAATCTGCCAAGGCACGGTCCTGGAAGTTAGGTGTGTTAAAGATATTTAAACAATACATTATCTCTAAATTATTGACAGTGCACTCACGTGGCGTTGCTGAATCCAACATATTCTTGGCCAGTCATCTTCTTCACAAACTCCATAACCTCAGCAAATAGAAGAGTTTCATGTTAACTGCTGCATCTCTAAGAACAGCACAATAATTATGCCACAGTTTGAAAGTCATGGTTTTAACAAAGAGGAAAATGTGATGCACAATACTCACATAGTCAAACTTCTCCGCCTTATTTGAAGAAGGCTGAAAGTGTGAAACAAAACATGAACGCATCAGTGATTGAACAGTTCAACATCCTTCTATCAGCTGGTGCAGTGAGAGGGAAAACAGAGGAGATGATAAAACAGAGTCCAGGTACAAGAGGAATTTCACAAAACAGGAATCGACCATAAGAAAGAAAAGATTAATCTCATCCCAGTTCTTCTGGTTTGAATCTGTAACACAAATCGTGCCAAATATTTCATATGATTCCATGAGGACGCTATGAAGTGATATTTGTAACTGGCTGAATGACATCCATTCATGTCGGGGACTTTTACTGGAGGGAGAGTGATTTACTGCGCTGATTCAACTTTCACACAGCGCCCTGCACATGTCTGCGTGTTTACCTTGATAAGAGAGCTGATCACTATGGCTCCAGCGTTCACCATTGGGTTGTGGGGCTTATCTGCAGGAGAGGACGACAAGATAAGGTCCGGTGTTGATGAGGAGTTCGGGGGTAAATAACAGCTGTGGAACATGGGATTTTCCTTTCCACAGAACAATTCATTCTATTGTGAAGGGAGCTGATGTGTGTTATGTTATGTGTGTTGTGTGGTGTGTGTATGAAACATGTACTGAACCAAACAACACATTAAAAAAGAATGAATCACATTATGTCTAGTATTTTCTGAAGGCCAGCAGCAGTCTATTGTGTTAAATTTTATTCAGTAGCTTTTTTCCATTATTCAATCATCTGTCAATTTTTTTTATTCTGAAACAGTTGTCTGTTCATGTCTATGAAATGTTGGAATTGTGACCTGCTCCCATTGGATGGTGAAGCTGTCAAGCACGATATCAAATGCAAACGGTGCTTTATGGTCTATTTGAGTCAAAATGGGACCTGAAGAACTGACGAAGACTTGAAACAACAGACTGAGAACATAAACATCATGTCTCCTGACGTCCATTTTTGAACGAGGTCTGTGATCCAGCTGCACAGTGAAGAGGCCTCACGCACCTTCATCATCAAGTGAGAGCATGTTGAACTTGAATCCGCTGGGCTCCATGCCGACGTATTGGTGAACCCTGTCCGTTCCCGCCTCGTGGACGGCGATGGCGTACTGCAGGGGCTTCACACAGGACTGCAGGCAGAACGGCTGCTTGGTGTCACCCACTGAGTGTCTGGAGGAAAATGAATAAAGAGGCAAAGAATCTGAACGTATCACACTCAGTCTATCCGGTGACACCACAGACACAACAACACGTCACTGGAGGAGTTTGAGTTCGTTTCTATTTGTCTTTTTTTCCTCTTGCAAATGAAGTGATAACACACACAGTTTCTCAGCATCATTCAAATCAATATACATTTTTGAGCCAGCATGGAGAAAAAAAACTTTTGATTTTAAACTTAAATATAATTCAATGACGAAAGGAGAACTTCCACCTGCAAAGGAAGATTGTTTTACACGAGCGCCTGCTCTTGATCTTTGTCTGAATGAACCTTGTGGTGAGATTATTTTTTCATGCATGATTCTGTAACTCCTACCTCTGGCCGTCCACTGTGCACAGAGACACGCCCCAGAGTTCTGGGCTGAATTTGGCGAGCTGGGGGATGTAGTCTGCAACCTGGGATGTACAAGGGAAACAATCAGATCAGACAATTTAAGATTTAGAAACAAGTGTCAGAATTAAAGGCACGGCAGGAGCGAAGATGTCAGTAGAAAAAGATTTTGTAGAAGTAAGATGTAGTAAGGACAAGTTAGTAAAGTGGGACACAGTCAGGATTCTTGCATTTTCTGCCAGAGGCCCCTCAATAGGACCAAAGAAACAAACAACAGATGCAGAACACACCTTCCCATCACTTTGATGTCCTACTCTGTTGTAGATCTCATTTATTTTTTGTGCAAATGCATCAAACTCTGGGATGATGAATTTCTTCCTAAAGGCCTGGATCAGCAGGACGATGTTTCCACCAGCGCACCTGAAAGAAGAACAACAGTGCAGGGTTGAGTTAAAAGTTCAGTGTGTAAGATTGAGGTGAAAGGGATCAGAAATTGAATATAAAATAATCCTATAATGTTTTCTTTTTATTTAAATACTTTATATTTACATCAGGAGCGGGTCCCCTCTCAAGGTCCGCCATGTTTTTTTACAGTAGTTCAAACTGAACAAACAGATTGAGTTTTTATGACAACTGAAGGTTTTCGCAGGTTCATCTTTGGAAGTGGACGGTGAGGTGAGGGAACTGAACCTTTAAAAAGCTTCTCTGTTGTTGCAATAACAAAGTATAATATAGTACACGTTTGTGTGTGTGGTCTTTGTTTTACTTCGGGTGAGGTCGGGTTAAGGTTACGTTTACAGTAAGGTTAGTGTTGGGTAAGAAGTGGTTATTGTTAAGTTTTAGGGTAAGTCTCCAGGAAATGAATGTAAGTCAATGTAATATCCTCGTTCTCAGTGGGAGTGCAGAGCAGCCAAGAGCGATCAGCCTGAGCAACATGCTTTCATCAGCATGATGGTAAATACAGTGGACATGTCCTGCTACATACAATATAACATTGATTTTCCACAGGTTAAGTTTGAAACAGTGTTATACATATCTCTTAGCTTTTACTGCCATGCTTAATTACTTTTTTGTTCCTTATTATATATTCCATCTCACAGCAAATACCTGGTAGATCACATATCCTAGAAATAATATAAAACGATCTCTAATATCGCCACATGTTCTCGACATTACTGTGCAAGACTGAATTTAAGTGATAAATATTTCCAGACCTTCACATTGAGGGTGGATTAGGTTTAAAATCACATTGTGTAGCATCATGCACTTTAGTAAAGGCTCACCACAGTCTGAACTAATCAAATGACAACAGAATCAAATCAATACATTTCAGACACTGAGCTCTGAAAACGTCACATGAGCATCAGGTGTTGCATTTGACTACTGATCACATTATACGTGTGTTCTCCATCTTTTGTGGTTCTAACTTCCTCCACATATTTAATCTTATATTTAAATCAGACACAAATTACTTCTAATCCATGAGGTAAAGTCAGGGAGGACAAAGGAAATAAATAAAAGAGGGACCAGGGGGAGGAACAAGCAGAGAGACAATCACGCCACAAGTCAGATACAACAAATCCTTCATTACAATGGATTGTTGTGAGAAGGTCAAACTAAAAATAGTTTGGTCTCATGCCTTCCCTGGCTGGTAAATGGAAAACAAAACAGCATGAGACAGTTGGCGACGAGATGCATGTCAATTCTGCGGAGGCGGCGTCGTGAGTCAACGCTCTAAGAAACAAGCAATAAAGTCAGAGGACGCTATGGGGATATTTTCCGTCAGCTCTGTGACTGAATCTGCTGAGTTCAGACACTGTTTCTCATTAATGATGCACCGTGGGTTCCTGTGTTTGAGTTGTTTATCTGCTGTATTTCTAATCTATCACTTTATGTGAAAATAGGAAATCAATACTTATTTTCTCCAAAAAGGAAGAACAGAAATAAACCCACAGCACAGGCTACTGAGAAACAGCATATTTCATCTGTGGGATATGACTTCCCACCTCTTGTAGTGAAGGTCAAGTTTACTCAGGACATAACCCCCCCAGAACGGACATTAAAGTGTGATCTATATCTAGATAATAATGATCCAGTGTTGATTTTGCATTTTCACCTTATATTTTTAGATACATTTCAGTAGAGATCTGTCTGTTCCCTGGAGCAAAACCTGCATGTGGTAATTCAAGGTGGCCTAATTGGAGCTACAGTGATGTCAACACATAGTAGGGGTTGTGTTTACACTTTCCTAAAATCCAAAACAATGCGAGACAGGCTACTTCCAAAATCCCAGTCAGATCCCGATGCATTTACACCATGCATTACACCAGATAACGTGTCCAGATATAGAATGTATTTTAGAAGCAGGTGTGAACAGGGTCAGCGGAAGATATAATGTCTCTGCAGCAGCCACAGGACTGAGACTTAATCACAGCACAGTAGTTTTCTATTTGTTCACCTGAGACACAGGCTGTAAATCTCAAATCTTGTATGAGTTGGCATGTCGGTGTTTTTGGTTAAAGGTTCAGTGTGTAGGATTTAGTGACATCTAGTGGTTACGTTGTATGTTGCAGCTGAATACCTCTCACCTCGCCCTCCCCTTCCAAACAAGAAGAAAAGAAGAAAACAACAATTTTTACAATTTAGATGAAACACACGAGAGAAAAACATCACTAGGATTATTTTATATTCAATTTCTGATCCCTTTCACCCAAACTCTGACACACTGGAGCTTTAAGAGACCACATGGTAATTTAAGTCATAAGTCTTTGACCTGCCTGTGTGTGTTTGACAGGAGCTATAGAAGGAATTCAAATCTGCTGCTGTCTCACCTGTGGAAAAGGTCTCTGTCCATCATGGCCTCACCGGCAGATTCCTTCACAGCGTGTCGTAGCTTCTCCATGCAGTCCTTTAAACGAGGGTCGGACGGATGGAGGCCGGTTCTCTTCAGGGCCTGCGAACAGCAACGAAAACCATAGATACAGTAGAAGTTTTATATATTAAACACTGATTATATATAAAGATGGACGACATGACAACTCCCCCTGGTGGCTGGCTGCAGTATAGGTCCTCCATGTTAGCATTTGGGGGATGGGCCAAACTAAAAAGTCAAAGTCCAGTGATGGTTTATGTCACATTAGGTACTGTAGCTGTTATCACATTGGTGTTTGTTTGTGTTTATTCTATCTATGTCTTGTTTTAATTTGTTATTTATTGCTACAAAAACTGGGTGAAACATCATAATGACCATCTTGTCACCAGCGCAAGATGGCGGCGCCCATGTCACAGACATTTAGGCTTCATTTTATTCATACAGTTTGATGAAGTGGAGACAAATCGGCCATATTCATTTGCAGGCTGTGATACAAGCAGCGGACAAATAGGATGTCTTCATCTACTTACTGAGGTAAAGAACGAGATGGGAACTTGCTCTTTTCCCTCTGTGATGGCGTAGAAAAGCATGTCGTCCACTCCAGAGCTGGGAGGCTGTGACTGTACATCCCTGGAAAAGAGAAAAGTAAGCTTGTAAAAGAGGAATGTCAACAGTTTTTAGTGTTTGCTTATGAAAATATTCTAAAAAACAGGCAAGTCTAAGCAAACAGTGGCTGTTGGAGCATTTAAAATGTCCTACATTTAGTTGACAACATTGCATGACATGTGAAAAATAAAGGTTGATTAACTAAGTTGTTGGAAACACAAATGAATGTATCGTATCTATCCAGTGCAGACAAGTTATTCATCCTGCAGGAGGAAGTTATTTTTCCAGTGCAGGCAAGATAAGAGAAATCTTTCTGGACCTGAGGGGATCTGTAGAAATGTGTGTGCACACTATTCCCTGAATGTAAACCTTGTTGTTGTGTGTTTCAGCAGAGTGGAGGTGTGGAACTCCACAGCATCAGGCGGGTGATCAGCTCTTCACCAAACACTCACACTTTGAGAGGATGATCCATGTGAGCAGCTGAGGATCTGGAGCTCAGGCAACAACATGCTGCTGCTGCTGCCTGGATATTAAATGTCTTCCTCGCCGCATCTGGGTTCCTCAGGAGTTGCACGGAGTTAGCGAGCAGACGCAGCCGCCTCACACACAACATGGTGCGGCTCGACCACAGCTACAGTCCGGTGGAACAGCAGATAATGGAGACAGCAGGTTCTAAAGCAGCTTTTTATCTGCGGCTCCTCACAGGTCACTGACTCTGGAGTTCTGCTGCCTTCACGTGACGTCAGAAATTTAAAGACTGTCCATGAGACAGTGACATTTCGATTTAATATTTCGATTTAATATTTCGATTTAATACTTTAGATTTGACATTTAACATCCATTT